CAGGCCTGAGTCCTGCTGCCCCTACAATCATGACCTCTAGCCCAATGCCAGGCCTGGGTCCTGCTGCCCTGATGACCACAACCTCTAGCAGATGCCACACCCGGGTCCTGTTGCCCTGATGGCTACCACCTCCAGCCTGATGCCAGGCCAGGCCCTGCTGTCCCAATGACCTTCCCCTCCAGCCTGATGCCAGGCCCATGTCCTGCTGTCCCAGTGATTCCCCCTCCAGCCCTGATACCAGGCCCAGGACCTGCTGCCCCAATGACCTTCCCCTCCAGCCTGATGCCAGGCTGGGCCCTGCTGTCCCAATGACCTTCCCCTCCAGCCCTGATGCTTAGCTTAGTTCCATCAATAAATTACTGTCAAGTGAGTGATTCTTTCAAATCCAAAAATAAGGACATATGGTCTGATACAAAGGCATGTCCTTTAGACAACAACAGGACAGCCGGCCTGGATGGAAGGTGACCAGAGGCATCTGGCCCGTCCTCTGGGGGGCAGCTGGACATCCAGAAGACTGCTGAGCTCCAGAGAGGCCATCCATAAACAAGCCACCCCATCTTCTCAACTCACAGTGGAGAGGCTCAAAGAGGACCCTCAGGCCAAGAAGGCGGGCCTGGCCCACCATGAACCCACTTCAAGCCTGTAAAGGCCTGAGCGAGACCCGAGGGGCTACAGAAGGGGATGCTTTTCTCCTGAGAGACTGGAAACCACAGGCCAGACACACGCCTCCCTCCAACACCATCTCTCCCAGCCACCGGCACACTCGAGCCCTGACCCCCACTGACTGGTCTGCATTTTGTAACCAATCTTTGCCCCAGAAACTGTCTTTGTTTCAGGCACCCTCTCCTCCTCTATCACCAAGAAGTCATTAAACTGTCTCAAAATCCACCCAAATCGAAAGGCCTATGATCCTTTAAAGGAGAAGCTACATTTTAGGGCCTGACTTGTTCTAAGTGATAAGTGAGATTGATGGCTGAGCCGCGTGAGGAGTGGAAAGAACAGTCTGGAAAGGGTGCCGAAGCCGATTCAGCCTCAGGTGCCGGCCTTTCAAATGCCCATTTCTGTCACTAAAACACGCAGGACGTTGTGACCAGGCATAGCTCAGGTCTGTCACCTCTGCTGCTCCTCTCTGCCCCCCCCCCAAGTGTTTTGTTACCGGGGACTCGGGCTGCCTCGCCCAGGGTTACATGGGGTCAGGTGGAGGGGCTGAATTTATCCCTGTATCAACTCATTTAATCCTCTCAGCCACCCTAATGGAATAAGTAGCATCAGCCTTGGTTTTAAACATGAGGAAATGCAGGCTCCTTCTGAGAGGTCAAGTGAGTGGCTCAAGGTCACCCAGCCAGGTGGAGAAATGAGCCCTGCACTGTCACATGGAACAGTGAATTCTGCCACTGAAGGGCTGGAGGCTGGGATTCTGGAGAGAATCCTCCCCGAGACCAGGGCTGGCCCATAAGCCAGAAGAACCAGCGTGTGGTTCTGACCCTTCATCTCTGGCCCCCCAGGTCCAGGCCAGGGCACCTCAAACTTCACTGCATCTACCTATGCCCTGGGGCCCCATCAGGCCCACTGGGATCTACAGGTTTGGGGAGGGGCCTAAGAGTCTGCATTCCTCACATACACCACGCTGCTCGACTCTGGACCACAGCTCGGCCTGGACCTCAGTGGAATGTCCTCCCGCTGCCCGCAGCATGTGCCAGGACTGGCCGGGGCCTGGTACACAGCTGCCACACCTTCTGGTGTTCCGAGAAGGAGCAAACGGTGGCTCCCGTGGGTCTGAGGCAGAAGATGGGCTTCCGGGTTCCGCGTGCACTTAGCAGTGGCCGTTTTCCTTATCCACTTCTTGGCAAAACCATCTCAAGCCGTTTATCTCAAAGGAGGCAGGCTGGAGCAGCAGGCTCTGAGAGCATCCACTATTTAAAGTCCTTCCTGGGGAGGGGCTGCCCACTGCTGGAGGGTGGGGTACACGGGGCAGCGTTCAAGGAGAAAGAGGAAGAGGCACCAAACAGTCCTGCCATCAGGCCACCCTCTACTCAGAACCCTCCACAGCGCCCAATTCACTCAGAGGAAAGTCAAAGCCTTCACTGTGGCCTCCAAGGCCCAACAGGCCCCTGCCCACAGCAGGCCTCTGTCCTTGAGGGCCCCTCCCTGCACTCTCCCTACTTCTCCCCAGATCTGTGCCCAAAGCTGCCTCTTGGGAGGCTGTCCCTGACCGTCCTTTTTAAACTAGTGGCCTCTGCATCTCAACACTTTCCTCCCAAAATGCCTGTCCCTCTCCTCTCCTTTCGTCTCTGCTAGCACTTGTCAGCATCTGTAAGGCTTATTTGGTGACTTTATTTAGTATCCATGTCCCTGGCCTGTCCCTCACTGTGAAGAATATAGGTTTCATGTGGGCGGGGGCTCTCGTCTCTTACTCACTGGTGTGTCCCTGGCACATGGTAGACATTCAGTATGAGCAGAATAAATGCTTGCCTGGAAGAATGAATGAAGGGGCCAGGCTCTGTGGCCAGCCCAGGAAGACAAGAGCAACTTAGTCCCTCATCACAAGTCATTTAATTCCCCATTCCAAGCTGAGGAAACTGAGGTTCAGAGTGGTTAAGAGACCTGGCCAGGGCAAGAGACCTAGGAAGTGGTAGGGAGAGAACTTGGGCGCTGGGCTGGCTCTTTTCTGAAGGTGGTTGCCTTCCAGGGTGCTGGGTCTGACAAATGTGACAGTAACTTGCTCCCCTTTTTCTCAGGAGCAAATGCTCTAGTGTCAGGATTGTTCCAAACTTGCCCAGTATTTGGGACTAGTGCACCCAGGAGGCTCCACAGGGGAGCCGGTGCCCCAAAAGCCAGGAAGGAGGCCCACCTCCAGCCCCAGAGCTCCTGTCCTTCAAAAGGTGGGAAGGCCTCTCTTTGCAATACTGAAACCCAAAAAAGACCCGCAATAAACAATCTTGGTTTTCTTTCCTTTTTTTGGTTTATTGTTTGTGTTTTAATTTCCCGAGTAAACTCACTTCCAAGTCTAGGAGACCTTCTACCATCAATGACTTCTGCTAAGTAAGTAGGTCTCCCCAAGTCTCCCCATATGCACACTTGCAGACACACAGCCCACAGTGCTTTGCACAAACCCTCTCCCCTCAAGCTATGTGGATGATCATAGCTTAGGCCCCAGGAACTGGCCCTAGAGGGTCAGCCACACCTTGTGAGGACCATGAAGGTGGACAAGATGAGCCACGCCCACTGCCCACGTCAGCCCTCTCATTCCAAAGACCACCCAGCTTGTCTTCTCTCCCCTATTCATCATCCACTCTCCATCCCATTACCCCGTTTATTTTCTTTACTTCACGTCTCACCATCTGCGAGGGTCCTGCTTATTTATTTCTGTATTTGCTTATTGCCAAGGCCTTTCTCAGATAGAAGAGGCAAAGGAGGGTAAGGGGCTGGTTCATCACTGTCCCTCACTATATACCAGGCCTAGCACAGGGTGGGCACACAAATCCTGGTAATATGAACGAGCAACTGAACCAGAAAGAAAGGAGATTCTGAAGGTAAATAGTCTATAAGCCCACTGAACCCTAAAATCAACACACAGGGAAGGTGGTATTATGTCCACACAGCTGGAAGTTGACCCAGAGGTGTCCCAGTCCACAGTCCAAGCACTAGTGGACAGGGACAAAAAAATGGTGCTGGGAAGGAGTGAGGGGAGGCAAAGGGACAAGAGCCCGGAAGCCTTACAGGAAGGCGAGGTCAAGCTGCCTGTGGACTCATGGGACTGAGGTGGGCTTCACCAAAAAAAGTCAACACCGTCCACCGTGCTGAGCCCAGATACTTCCTCCAGGCTCCTGGAGTGACGCTGGCCCCTGCTTTAACTCAGAAAACACCTGCTCAGAGCAAAATGTCATCACTGAAAAGTGCCTGAAACCAAGTTCTTATTTCAAGACACTAATATAAACTACAGTGAGAGAAAGATGGGCATTCTCCTCTCTTGCGATTTGCAGCCTCTGAAAACCACTGAAGGGTCAGAGGTGAGTCAGTTCCTTATGGCAACTGGAAAGGAGAGACCATCTCAGTACAGACATAGAGCGCCCTTCCAGAGGGCTTCAGACAGCCAGCCCTTCCCTTTTCTGGGCAAGTGGATAAAATGAGCCAGCTGAGAATTCTGCAGGAGTCCTTTCTTGGAACACTGTCATTCCCTCATTCATTCATTTCTTCACTTGACCTGGGGCCTGGGAAACCCAAAGGTGAAATAAGACAGAACCTCTGCCCTCTCACCAACCCATCCACTGGCACCCACAGTTTTGGCGGGGACTAAGACACAAGCAAATATTAACCATACTTGTTTCCAAAACAAATAAGGCCACGTGGAGTTTCCCTCTGGAATGGCATTTTGGATGCAATTTTGATTCATTTGGGCACAAGAACCAATTCAGTCAACCGGGTCAGGGACCAAGTCCAGGCACCCCAGCAAGTGCTCGGCTCCCTCAAACTCCAGGTCTCACCCACTCACATCATCTCCCAACGTTCAGCTCCCTCCCTCCCCTCTCCCATCATCTTCTCCCTCCTGAACCCCTAAGCCCCCCACATTCTAGATCCGATCTCCCCGGGTCAGGACACCCATCCCTGCCTGCCTTCCACACTCCAAGCCTGAGCTAACACCTGGAGCCCCTGGAACCCCGTATGTCCACAAACCGCGTTCTCAGGGTTCCCTGCTCAACACCCCCACTTTCAGGGCCCCCATAAACACATCGTGAGCCCCTGAGCACATCATACCCACACCCAGAGCCCTCCTACACGGACACCCAGAGCCTGGCCGGAGCCCCATCACCTCCAACTCTTCGGAACCCCCAAGGTCAGCCCCAGAGCGGCCGGCACCCCGGTTCCGCAGCCCTCCAGCCCTGCACGCCGAGCTCCGGGTGCCCCGCACGGCGCCGGACCCCCCCGGTCCCCACGCCGCGTGACCCCGGGCTCCCCGAGGCCCGGCCCGGCCGCCCGAGAGGCCGCTCCCCGGCGCCTACCGTTGGCGATGAGCTTGGCCGACAGCTGCTTGATGAGCTCGGGGATCCGCTCCCACTGGCACTCGGAGCGGCAGCGCTCGATCTCCGTCTCCAGCCGCGAGCCCGCCTTCTTGGTCGCCATC